ATAATAATGCTCTACAACAAACTTCATCCGTACAAGGTAAAAGGTTGTATCACAAAACATTCGTACATGTGCGAGTAATATGTTCTTCTTAGGTTTTTTCTCTTTATAATAATGATGTTTCTATTTATGTTTAGGTCTGAGAAAAACAGGGGTGAAAAAGGTCAGCTTAGTTGGATTTTTCCATTTAATGTTAAGGGTTCAATTGGGTAATATGCAAGATTTATTTGACACGAGCCCTGTTATATGGTGCATTGTTCAAGCTCTTTTGTTTATGGTTTCACGCACAGATTCTTTGGCAAACCGTGTTCTAAAACTGCTAGCATTTATGGAGCACTGGAGTCATTAAGCACAGTGAATGGATCAACAAGGAAGCCAATAAAATATGTTCTTTGTACTGCCCTTAGTTCTTGTGCTAAAACCCGGAATTGGCGTTTGGGTATACAAATCCATGCTTCCATGATTCGATCTGGATATGAGGATAATTTGTTTCTCTGCAGTGCACTTATTGATTTCTATGCCAAATGTTTTGCTATTCTGGATGCAAAGAAGGTATTTAGTGGCATCAGAACACATGATCAGGTTTCATGGACTTCACTTATTACGGGATTATCGATCAATGGACTAGGAATAGATGCTTTCTTGTTGTTCAAAGAGATGCTATACACCCAAATTAAGCCCAATTGTCTTACCTTTGTTAGTGTCATTAGTGCCTTTGTTGGGCAATTTGGTGGCCTTCAACATTGCTCCGCTCTTCATACTCATATCATCAAGCAGGGATGTGATACTAACAATTTTGTGGTCTGCTCATTGATTGATTGTTATGCAAATCAGGGACAAATTGATGATGCTGTACTCTTATTTGCTGAAACTAGTGAGAAGGATATTGTTTTGTACAATTCTATGATCTCTGGATATTCTAAAAACCTGTGTAGCGAAGATGCATTGAAACTGTTTGTAGAAATGAGGGGGCAAAATTTGGGTATTACTGATCATACTTTATGCACGATTTTAAATGCTTGTAGCAGCCTTGCATTTCTTCTTCATGGAAGGCAAGTGCACTCTTTTGTTATTAAAATGGGTTCGGAAAGGAATGTGTTTGTGGCCAGTGCTTTGATTGATATGTATTCAAAAGGTGGCGATATTGACGAGGCTCAACGCGTGTTAGATCAGACTTCTGAGAAGAATAATGTGTTGTGGACATCCATGATCATGGGTTATGCTCAATGTGGGAGAAGTTCAGAGGCTTTGGAACTTTTTGATTGTCTACTGACCAAGCAAGAGTTAGTTCCTGATCATATCTGCTTTACTGCTGTTTTAACAGCTTGTAATCATGCAGGATTGCTTGACAAAGGGGTGGAATACTTTAATAAAATGACAACAAATTATGGCTTGTCTCCTGATATTGATCAATATGCTTGCTTGATTGATCTCTATGCTAGAAAAGGGAATTTGAGTAAGGCAAGGGATTTAATGCAAAAAATGCCCTATGATCCTAATTATGTAATTTGGAGCTCTTTCTTGAGTTCTTGTAAGATATATGGAAATGTAGAACTTGGGAGGGAGGCTGCTGATCAACTTATCAAGATGGAACCAAGTAATGCAGCACCATATTTAACATTAGCACATGTCTATGCAAGAAAGGGTTTATGGAATGAGGTAGCTGAAGTCAGAAGGCTTATGCAACAAAGGACAATGAGAAAACGTGTAGGATGGAGTTGGGTGGAGGTAGATAAGTTGTAGATGAGGTTACTCTTCAGCAATCAGATGAAAACTACATAGTTAGAAAAAGTCTTATCACCGGATGTCAAGTTCTATGCCAAATGTTTTGCTATTCTTGATGCAAAGATGGTATTTAGTGGCATCAGAACACGACCAGGTTTCATGGACTTCACTTTATTATGGGATTATCGATCAATGGACAAGGAATAGATGCCTTCTTGTTGTTCAAAGAGGTGCATTAAGCCCAATTGTCGTGCTTGTGTTGGGCAAAATGGTGGCCTTCAACATTGTTCCGCTCTTCATACTCATATAATCAAGAAGGGATGCGATAACTAACAGTTTTGTGGTCAGGGACAAATTGATGATTGATTGTTATGCCAATCAGGGTCAAATTGATGATGCCGTACTCTAATTTACTGAAACTACCGACACACAAACTTGTTATTCTGACATCTGTGTTACTTTTGAAAAACCATATTTTATTTTTTAATTTAATCTAATACGATAAAATAAAATTTTAATTATTTTAAAAGTCATTCGTGGTATCTTCACTTGTGTTTAATAGTAATAATTTATATTTCTTACATGCTTTTTGTATTATATGTATCATTATGATACAAAATGATTATTGATAACATCAACTTTAAACACAAACTAACAGTACTCAGTATTTCCATTATTTTCAAATGAAAACCAAATCGAGGGCTGAATTACAACATTCAAACACACAAGCAACACGAGATTATTAAAACATTAGACAAGATGCAAGATTTATTGGATCTCTAGCCTTACATCTTTTTTTACTGGAAGGAAGTACAATACAATAACTAAACTGAAACCACAGGCTCAGTCAGATGGAAATGCTATTAGGAATTCCCCTGAAGGTCAAGCCTTCCTCACTGGTAGGATGAAGCAAAGTGTATGGCAATTCAACTGGTCCAATTCGGTTTCTCAGTTTCTCATCTTTGTTCTTGCTTGCGAGTTTTTCCTCAATATCCTTCAGTTTGTTTCCAAACTTTTGAAAGGCTTTCAACGCTTTGGAATCAGAGGTCCAATGTGGGTTTTCCCTTTGGCCAAGGTAGACCTCATCAGAGGCATGCCTTGACAATATCTCTATCACAGAAAGGTCAATCATAGTCTGAAACTTTGACGTAATTGTTCTCAAATAGGCCTTTTGATGGCTGTTCACCATTTCTTCATATTCTGGTGTGCCTTTCTCAGGAAGCAACCTTCTACTAGAAGTTGGACGGTTCAGAATAAAACCTCCATAAGGGTATTGACCAAAATTAACAGCTGCATGGAGAGCCGAACCAGTCCATATGATAATGGTGCAGATTTCAACAAGCTCCTCAAGTGTCTGCAACTTAGGCCACCATGGTTTGTCTTTCAAATCAGCATGTCCTTTCTCCACAGCCTCTTTCCACCAATGTTGGAGTTCAGGATCAGATTTGACATCATCATCTTTTGCATAGTACAATGACACATACTCTTGAACCCATGACTTAATCACAGCCCATATCTCTAGTCCATCAACAGCATAAGGGTAGTCTTCTATCAAGAGACGAAGTCCATGTGGGGCTGATGAATCCTTAACGGCCACTCCTCTGAATCAAGCAAAATATATACTTACATTACATGCATCATTATGCTTTGCAACAAATTATAAACCATTCTTGTTACTACTTCTGATCTTAGATACAAGTCACTTTTTGTCATATATTTAAAGAGATTTACTAACCTCTTGACAAGTTCTGCAGGCAGTGCTTGATCAGTGAAAACCCAATTCTTATAAACCGCTGAAGACATCTCGACTGAATACTTTGAGGGCAAAAAGGATTTCTCTATGATGCCATCAGCATTAATTAGAGACTGTCTGGCAAGTGCATTGATGTTCATGGTGTCACGATAATGAGGAGTTAGAAGCTTATAAATTGGATGAAGCGCACTAAGGTGCCGGTGTGTTGCTATGATGAATGGCTCCATCACTGCATGAGTATTTAACCTGTAACAGAATAAACATTTCATACATTAATTAGTATAATCTATATATAGAGAGAGATATCAGAGATTGAATTGTTGAATGCAGTGAAAAGTTTTGTACCAATGGCTCATGAGTTGATGATAGCAAGAATCATTTACAACTACATAAGCTTTGGCTAGCAGCCAAATTGTACTTTCAACACCTTCTTTTGCAGGTAAAATTACTTGGCTGACAGCACCTGACTTGTCCCCAGCAGGATGTGGCAAACTCAATTCGATGGCCACTGGCATCAGAGTTCCATTTTCTTTCAAGAAAAGGATAGTTCTTGTGGCATAAGCTTTGGCATAAGTCTGATTTATCCCCCGAATATATGGCATGAAGATATCATGGTAATCTAACACAAATAACCTCTTTTTTGCAAGAGCCTGTTCCACAAATTGAAGTAATTTAAATCAGAACAAACGTATTTTTTTACTTTACAAGAGAAAAGTGAGTGCAAAAGTATGTTTACCTCGTCCACTGTGCTTCCCTCTAGATCAAGCGCCTCTGCTGTTATCTTACTGTTTTGATCACCATAGGTTGCAGGATCCAGATTGCTTTTTGGAGGAAACTCCTACCATTCATTATAAAGAAGAATATCACAAGAAAAAACAAGTATTGAATATATTTGGAATCAAATTTGATCTGTTAATTTTGTTTTAGAAACAAGTATTTCATTAACTCACTTCAAGACCACGAATTACGTTGGGATTTACTCCCGCAATCATCTCTCTTGCAAATTCTTCATCGGTCATCCACGCTGACTTATTCACTGCCCATTAAACGAGTAAAATCTCTGTTAAAATGGAACCATAATTTCGTCCAAAACGTAAGTTTTGGCATTTGTTTGTGATTTCAAGTATGTGTGTTTATCAGACCTTTAATGACGTGAGGTGTTGGAAACTTGAGAACTTGTTCGCCATCGGTACGAAAGAGTTCTTTGATCACTGGTAAAAGGGCAATTGAGCTAATTACTTCTGTGGGAAGCTTAATTCCACCTTCACAGAGGTCACGCACATCTTGGAAGCTATCAAACTCATTCGGGGTCAAGTTTAAACTGAACATAGATTCGAACGCTGGTAAGACATACTGAGATAAAGATTTTATCCCATACGCAAGGAAATCCGAAGATTTCAAGTGACCAAAGTTTTCATCTCTTGGCACATAAACTTCGCCTGGCTTCTCACAATTCGAATCTGTTGAGTTGAAATTGATTAGAAAACAACTGCATATTAAAAAATAAATCCTCTGGAAAAACAAAGACAACAACGTTATATATAACATCACAAAAAGTCAGTGTTACTACGTTAACCATATGATGAATTCGTTTACGTAATAAAATAAAAACATAAAAGACTAACCTTTCCTTGTTGGGTATCGACCAGTTCTTCCCCTACGAGGATATGGATGAGTGGAAGAGCCTCCAAGAATAGGACGAGCAAAATTTTCACTAAGATCTGGATTACCCAAATCATTGTAGACATCATAATCATAGATCCTATCATGTTCCTTGCGTTCTCCTGTTCCATCTCCTCTTAAATTCTTCAATTCTTCTTCTCTATAATGCACAAGCGGTTTTGGTGTCTCACTTGGAACATAAGTCTACGGTACATTAAACCAGTTTTATAATTCTTAATTAGTGTGAAATAAACCAAAAGAATTTCTAATCATAGAGGGTGTGATGAACTACATATACTGAGTCTGAATTCTAAACTACTTGATGAGAAATGTAAATAAACAGCTACGTACATGGTTGGCGAAGAATATGCGCAGTCTTTTCTTGTAAAGGTTAGTGTTGTAAATCCATGAGTTGCAAACAAAGCGAATGGTTCCATGATTTGGAACGTCTTCAAGAGTCAGACTCTTGAGGTAAAACTCAACTTGCATGAAATTCTTTACGTAAAATGCACCAGGGATTCCCATGCTTTCGTCCCATTCAAAATGAACATAGAATGCAGACTCTCCTGCTCCCAAAGTTGGTAACGACGTAATGATTCCTTCAATGAACGTATCCTTACCAACTTTTCCTTTTCCACTTTCTGCAACACAATATCAAGTCACCAAATAGTTTAAACTTTATATATGAATCAATAAAAAGTCATACAATAGAACGAACACTGGTTTATTTCGTCAGAAATCACTTGAAATAGATGCTTTTTAGTCTATAAATTAACTTAACTTTTCATATGATGATGGAATAAATTGAAAGGAAGAAGAAATTTTAACCATCAGATTTGGTGGCACTGATGAGCTGAAGAGAAACACTTCGGCCTAAGAAGGCAGTGAGGCCATCAACTGTTGAACCAACAACGCTGAGACCAGTTCCTATGACTCCACCAACGTTTCCTTTGGTGAAATCAGTGACACTGTTGAAATCCAAAACATTCTTACGCATCAACACCACTGTTCCTTTTATCCTGTTCTGGCTATGGCCTCCTGGGTTGAGGATTCCTGAAACCCCTCCTGGATTAAGGATTCCTGGAACTTTTGGAACTTGAAACATCTTTCTCAAACTTACCAACAACACTGTTTTTATTTCCCAAAACGAGGAAGGAAAATAAAAACGAGAAGAAGAGGAAAGTCTGTGTCTGTTGTGAGCAAACCAACCAACCTATCTCAGATATTTATAGCCATAGCTATTCTTAATTGTGTGGGTGATTACTCATTGTATTAACATAGCAATTATTTTATCCTAATGATATGTACGCAATAATTCATAGATGCATGTCCTAGGTAAGGATGAAATATGTGGAGTCCTGAAAATGCAAGGTGTCACAAAGAATTCATGCAGAAAGGACAAAAGGGTTGCATGAACAGAGAGTGTGTATAATTGTGCATGTGGCTGGTTTGACGTGAAGTGCATGTGTCAATTCGAACGGCTTTCAAAAGGTGACACATCACAAATAAATTTAGGGTGGTGATAATATGATAGTAAGCTTTAAACATTAATAATTTTATTATGTATTTTCCAAATTTATAATTTGAAAATACATTCTAAACTATAATCCATAATGTATTATTAGATTACGTAATTAAATTATACTTTCATAGTACTTAATTTTAAAATTATGTAATTTAGAATATTTTTTTATATTATCAATTCAAAAGCATATTTCAAATTACATA